TTATATTTAGATTTAAATTATTATTATTTCTAATAATAAAAATTGTTTAAGTGCAGATATCAACCTGATCCAGTATCAGTGGTGACGGCAGGCCCAAGCATGAGTAATTACATGGCAGGATGGTTACCTTAGTTCGAAGCCCTTAAATAAAATCCACTTTAGAAGCAATATTTGCGGTTTCAATTTTATTGAGAAGAAAAAAAGTAAATAGTTTTTGCTTATTTTAATTTATAAATGTCCACTGTGTAATAATAATAATAATAATAGTAATAACAAATAATAATAACAATAACAATAATAACAACAACAATAACAATAATAATAATAACAACAATAATAACAACAATAATAACAATAATAATAACAATAATAATAATAACAATAACAATAATAATAACAATAACAATAATAATAATAATTATTATAATAATAATAATAATTATACTTATTGGCATCCTATCGTAATGCCATTCAATGATAGATATCACCACATTTTCATTCACATTGATTCTTTTTTGTTTTCATTTTCTTCTTTCGTGGAATTATTGTTTCCTTTTTCTGTTTGATTTTTTCGTTGCTTAATTCTGGAGTTACATTACTTGCCTGTATAATTTTTAAAGTTATTAAAAAAACATTGAAAAATTAAAGTGTATTGACATTTGTATATTTTAATTTACGCTTAAATTACATCTTAATCCTTAAAATTACATTATAAATTATGACCGCCCTCTCAACTGGAGAGGAGTCTGATACTTTCATTGGGCTTTCTTTCATCCTCTGTTTAGGACCTCAAGTTTGTAAGAAATAATGAGAATGATTTGCGTTAAAGCAAGTAAAATCAATAGTAAAGATAAGATAAGCATGATAAATGACTAGAGGAAAGGCGAGATGACAAAGATGCTTAGTGGACCCATGCTTTTTTGGTGTAGGTCCTGTAGGATGACAATGGTGGCATCAGGTAGCCTCCAATTTCTGAAACTTTATGGACTATGAGGTTTTAAAGGTTATATACACTAGCGTGTTGACAGACATTATCGTGAATGTTAATGTGTTTCCTATCATTTGTAATGTGTAGTCTACATGTAATAAATGTCTAATGTAGTAAATTGTGTTAGATATTGTATCAATCAATATAAATTAGTATGAACCGTAATATAGAACCAAAGCTAATTTACATTATCTAACTATTGATTTCCTATATGATAATACATATATCATTAGGTATATATCTATGTATGCAAATAAGACATGTAATATTATATGCGAGGGAAGAAAAGGAGAGAACAAAAATGAAGAGGGAAAGTGTATGTAATGAGAAATGAAAGTAAAAGTGAACCACAACTTGCTTGCATTGTCTTGTATTTGAAAGATAAATTATCATGTTCAAATATTGTCATGATTCATGTGGAAAAACTGTCATGTTTAAATGGAAAACTAGAATGTGGAACGTAAAATGAGGAAATGAGTTATATAGTTTTTTTGGTATAAAATAAATATTAATAAGGGCAAAATAGTAAACAATAAATTAAGTAGTATATATATATGGATGTATCTAGTGAGAGAAGTAAAATTATATGAGAGTGAGATGAATAATTTTTAGCCGTCGGATTAAAATCAATGACTAAGACTAGAAATTTCTCTTTAAATTCATTCTCTAAGGTAAAGTATCATATATGCTAGTGGTACATGTGACCTATTAGAGAATGACACATGAACTTTTTTTGTATACTTTCAAAGTCAAAAAATGTTTGATTGTAAATCTAATAAATATTCCTTCTTTGAAAGTATACAAAAATATCAACGTGTTATCCTCTAATAGGTCACATGTACTACCAGCACCTATGGTACTTTACCTAAGTTTTGTCCTTACAACGAACCCATTGCAGCTTCATAAAGCATGAGAAGCTTTGAAATAGACTGAGAAACTGAATTTGGTTATCTCAATCATTCGCGGGATTACACTACATCTAATATTTCTACAACTAACCGTGAGGTTGCTTATCTAACCGAGATATTACATGTTAAAAATAATTCCATAAAACAGAAACCTCATTCCCCTTATTCCATTTCACTTTATTTTATTTTTCTCATTTCCAATACAAAGTCATTGTCTGTATATCATGAATCCTAGTACTATGTAACCCTTATAATAAACTTGATTCCCCCCGATTTTTTCTGTTCCTCTTGGTTGAGAGCCATTGGAATAAACATGGGAAGTCTGCTTTGGAAGTGGTTCATTTTGCTCTAAATGCCTATTGTAAACAATTTCTAAAAGCATACTTTTCTCCACTCAAGTGTCTTACAAAAAATAACATCATAGCAAATGGATGTGTTTTTAAATTTGATGTGCAATATCAAATTTTCTGGCTGTTCAAGTTAATTAACATAAACACTCTTATATATTTGTAATTATCTGCAATTTGTTTGTTATAATGTCTCAATGAGAACGGTAGAGAATGAGTTTTAAAATGAGCTTCTAATTTTAGCCATTGATTTTATTTTGATGGTTGGGAAATATTCATCTCACTCTTATATAACTTTGTTTTTCTCACTCGATACATCCCATATATATGAGTAATCAATACGCTAGATATGTAAATCAACGGCGCTCATTACAATGAATGTTGTAGATATGTCACCTTTAACAACAATCATTTTAACGTCACTCATATTAAATAAGACAAAATTTATCTCAGACAGTTTATCAAACATATAAGAAGCATGTCTAGTTCCATCACATTTATAAATTGTCGCGACCCGATTTTCGGTTAGAAGACCGACCTTGCAACTTATGGAGAGGCGAACTCGATTTCTACCTCTTCCAATTGTTTTGGAGTCGCCACTATGTTTTTTGCAGATAAAACGTAGAAAACTCTCTATATGCCCAATTTGGACAATTTGGTCTTTGAACAGAGATTCTGAGCTCGGGAGTCGATTACAGATCGATGAAGGTATTAGCACCCCGTCCGCCCGTATTATAGCGGTACCCTCGCTAATAATATGGACTTTTATACCCTTAAAATTTATTTATTAAAATTTAGAAATTAAAGCAAAATGTTTTATTTTTTATTGTTGTGTCTGACAAGAGTTCATTTTGCTCCTACGTATCCCTAGGTGCAATAGGGAAATCAATGCTACGTAGTTCTGGTTCGAAAATTAAATGATCGACTTCGTTGGTTTGAAGATATCGATTTGGTTGAGTAATAAAACATTTTATTAAGATATTTTTTATATGAAATTAATAGTTTAGAGACGGCACTGATCGTAGACTTCCTTCCCATTTTCAGAGAATTTAGAGACAACACGAGCCATAACCTTACTATAAAAATTCCGTTTAAAATCACTTGAATAAATAATGATTATTTTGAAATTTTTAATATGGAATTAATAGTTTAGAGATGACACTGGTCGTAGACCTCCTTCCCATTTTTAGAGAATTTAGAGACAACACGAGCCATAACCTTACTGTAAAAACTCCATTTAAAATCATTTGAATAATAAAATAATTTCTTTAAGATATTTGATATGGAATTGATAGTTTAGAGACGACACTGGTCGTAGACTTCCTTCTCATTTTCAGAGAATTTAGAGACAACATGAGCCATAACCTTACTATAAAACTCCATTTAAAATCATTTGAGTAAATAATACAATAATTTTGCTTTGAAATACTTGATATGAAATTAATAGTTTAGAGACGGCACTGGTCGTAGACCTCCTTCCCATTTTTAGAGAATTTAGAAACAACACGGACCATAACATTACTATAAAAATTCCATTTAAAATCACTTGAATAAATAATGATTATTTTTTGAAATAATTGATATAGAATTAATAGTTTAGATACGACATTGTTCATAGACCCTCCTTCCCATTTCCAGAGAAGTTAGAGACAACACAAGTCGTAGACCTTACTATAAAAATTCCATTAAAATCCATTCATTAAGTAATTTTACACTTACAATTATATCATTTTATAGAAGCCAAAAAAGAAAATTTATTTATTACTACACACATAATCATGTTAAACAAGCTAAATGAGAGCATACCTCAGTTAAGTAGAAATTCATATTTGCACCATTACCTTTGTCAGCATAGACAACATTAACTTATAAAACATCTTGATTTAGCTTCAGTGTATCATTTGCATACATTCTTATGCCCCTTTACAGCTTGGACAAACCCCATGACCATATCTTGCTTTCAACCGCTCAACTATTTTATCACCACTATCTGTGAAACCGAGCAAGCAAAAAGGCTCACAAACGCTACTTGGTTGCCCTTTGGCTTGGCAAGGATGAAAGCTATTGAAAGAAACAATAAATCCTTCTCCATGGATAGCATTCCAATTAAAGAATTATATAAGGGTTCTCAAAAGCAACATGAACAAGAGCAGAGTAAGAGATGATTTGGTGTTGGACTAAGACAATGGATGGAAGATATGAAAGGCACACAGGAGCGTATGGAGGTAGAGAAAAAATGATCATGTCATGGTGGTCATCTTCTGAAAATGGAAAAGGGTTCAACTATATGTAAGACAAAAATGAATAACCCCCAATGATACTCATCTATTTTGGTTGTTAGCTATGAGCGTTGGTAGATATGGCAAGATGACGGAGGGACGAACATGTTGAACATTAGGATAAACAATTAAGAGCTTGCTGGATATTTCCGATTAATCCTAATCGTATCCCCGAAACCGAATGATTAGAACATTGTTCCGAAGCTAAATGTTTATGCCCATACATAAACCCTATTGGAACAATCCTAATCCGATTAGACCGAAGAAAACCCCAATTGGTTTTATAGTGAAGAAGAAAACGCATACCTTGGTTAGACATTCCGAATGCTCCGAGGTATGTGGGTTGTAGGATGTTCCGGTTGCTAGAGCCTGATGGTTTTCCGTTCACTCCGCTAGAGGGGAATTCAGAGAGAACGAAAGTGCTTCTAATGTTCTTTTGCAAAAGTGAGAATGAGAGGGCTTGGTACCTTATGCCTTTCTCTTTTTCTTTATACCCTTTATACCCTGTAACTGGGACCATAACCCATAAAAGTAACATTAACGGTTACCACTTAAGTTGCAATATTCTAATTCAGTCCCTTCATCAAACTAGAAATTGTTCGAAGATATCTACACTCATAATATTTCATGACACATATGCCATTAGCCACCAAATTAATTCATAAGACCATTTTATATATATTGGCTAAATAAATAATGGCTATAACACAATTATAAAATTATATTTGTTACCCATAAATTGTCAGAAATTCCAACAAGATGGTCATCAATGGCATGACCCAAAACAAAATCATCTAAGGTTCAAGCCGTGCATGAGATACAAGGAATGAAGAATATATAAGAGATATGTTGTTGAATGTTTGTTTGATGATGGACGTATAGCACTAATGGCAGGTAGCAAACTATAGGTAAAGCCAGCAACCCATTGCAAAGAGATACTACTAACAGAAGATGAAGCATACGTATACTTAAAGGATTCTTAAAAATACATAATACTATTACCGTATACATAACCACGTAATCATAAGGATGACACAAATCGTTTAATGTATGATGTTGCTATATGGATCTCTTCACCAAGCAACCTTTCTCCTCATCATCAATCGCCTAATCATCCTTCACCCTCTCTCTCATTTTTATAAACTACCAACGTTATGGAGTGAAGCCAAAAGACTTTTAACCAATATTTCCATTAAGCATATCATTCAACATAACTATCACCGTTTTCCCTTTTCAAGATTTTTCATCTACCAAACTTGCATAACTCATTAACTTAACTCAAAACCTCCATTTTCTATCATCTAAAAAATGAATACGGATCCTCTGCTACATCCAGAGATGACGATACGTGGCACTTAAAAATTTTTAACGGTGTAGATTTGAAGTTATTTTTAATTAAAACATTTTTTTTTAACATTTCAAGCAATCTGAGCCACTCATCCAGTGCTGGAGAAGATCCCAACTCCTAAAAAATACATCAATCTGTAACATTCTAACTATACTATTTATGTAATTTTCATTAAACCCTTTTTTAAACTATCACTAATTATAAATAAACTCATATTAATCAAAGGTTTCCTAATAGATTATAATTGAATAGTCAAGATAAAATTGGTTATGAGATGCCTAAATATTGTATATATTTTATTGAAATTTTTTATTGTTTTAAAATCTTTATATTTTTTTGATTTTATAAATAGGCCGAATAAAATTGGGTGTTCACATAAACCATTGCATGAATTTGTCTCTAGTTCAAATTCATTAACCCATAAGATTATATGCAGTGATGAAAGGGATGAAGGTGGTGAAGATGTAGATGACAAACTCCTGAATTTCTTATCTCCCTTAACCGAAGATATAAGATGACATAAATATATGTACATTCATTATAATATGAATAAAATTAAAATTTACATGAAAAAATAATAACCAAATAAAAAATATATATAAAGATTGCAAGTTTGGTAAATCAACAACAGCTTCATATATATTCAACCTTGACATTTCCTGTTATATAAAATAAGCAGTTAACGTAGATGTAAATGGAAGCAGCAATAGCGAATCAAAGATAAACAAATGAGCTAAAATAAGACAATGATTCACCTTATGCTCAAATAGAAAAATCAAAAGCTAATAACTTGTTTGAAGAGAAAAACTAAGAGAAGAAAAGTAAGAGTTGAATGATCTGTGTATTATTGTGTGAGAGATTTTGTTTTTGAATTTGCAAAGATTTGCGCCCAATAAAACAAAAGTGTATGACTTTTAACAGCGCGCTCTCTAAAGAAAGCGTTGTTAAATGTGTGATTTTTTTAGTTACACTAACTTTATTAAAAGATTGATTATGCAAAGGTAAATTTCAGGATTTATTAGATGCACTACATGACACAATAGTAACGAAACAAGACATAATGAAAATGCATGTTTGACCTGTTTGACTAGTCTCCTTCAATATTTTATTAAATTATTGTTTCTTTTTTGTGTTCGGTTTTTTCGTCACATTGACGTTGCTTAAATTATAGAGTAACAGTTATCTGTATAGTTTTTACGGAATTTTATCATGGGCTTTCTTTAATCATTTGTTTAGGACCTAAAGTTAGTAAGCAATAATAAAAGTGATTTTTGTTAAAGCAAGTTAATCCTATAGTAAAGATAAGCATGATAAAAGAGGAGACCAAAGACCAAATGACAAAGATGCTTAGTGGACCAATGTTGTTTTGGTGTAGCATGACAATAGTGCATGTCATCATGAAGCCCTAATTTTAGGAAACTTAATTGACTTTGAGGTTCGAAAGGTTTTGGGTAAGAGTAAAGATATTCAATTATTAATAAAAAAGTATTACTTTGATTTGAACAAAGTATCATTCTACAAATCTTCTTATGCCATACGAAAGTGACATTTCATTAATAAATAATGTATTCCTCTATAATTATATTTGGAATGTTTATGTATTATATTTCTTTATAAAAACAACTTAACTATTTTTATTAATAATTGAGGGTCAGTTTCGAGTAACTTTAAAAGTCTCCTCCGCGATTTCCTCCAACCTTAGGATCTTTCCTCATTTCCACCAATAACAACAATGTCAGTCATTTATTTAAAATAACACATAAATAACTCGTATTTTATCATCAAACATACAAGGGATTCAGATATATTCAAGATTTCCAAAACTACTTCTTTCAAACATCTAAACATACATGTTCATCTCAAATATCAACATCAAAACATTTCATATCTTTCTCTTTATACCAATATTCTAACTTTGGGGGTTTTTGGGGTTTTCATGAATAATCCACATAACCTTTCCATTCATCAAATACCAACTCTAAACCAAGAGTTTACAAGAGAAAAATAACATAAAACGAATCATAACTCTAAAGGGTGAGTTTCCATGGTTTCTCATGTTTTGAAAATAGATCCAACATACCCAAAACAAGTTAAAGAGGAAGAAGAAGAGTTAGAAGCAAGAGGTTTACCTCTTCTCAAGCTCTAAGATGAGTCCTAAGGCTCCTTGCTCTTGAAAAGCTCTCTTCTCTTTCTTCTCTTCAAAGTTCTAACCCTAAAATGTGTTTGGGATTTCTATTTTAAAGAGCAGTCGTCGGGTTCTCGCTCAAGCGAGCCCATTCTCAGTCAGGCGAGGAAATCCCGCCTATTTTAAAAACTCAGATCTGACCCTTTCGCTCAAGCGAGAGATTCTCGCTCAAGCGAGAATCTCACAGTCCCAACAGGCTTCCTCTCGTTCAAGCGAGGTATTCTCGCTCAGGCGAGAATCTCACAGTGTCAACAGCCCCAGTTTTCCATTTCTCGCCCAAGCGAGGCAACTCTCGCTTAGGCGAAAATCTTCCAGTATAGCCCAGGATTTCACCCTCCCAGGTGATGCTTTCTCGCTCAGGCGAGAATCTCTCGCTCAAGCGAGACTTCCAGGACTGATACTATAATTTTAAAGACTAAAATTCAGGGTGTTACATTATCTTATTTTATTTTGTAGGGATGTCATATATCTGAATCTTGGCTTTGATTTCTAATTAGGTATTTGATGACAATGAGAGTTGCAATATGTTGTACTTTTCTAAGTGAATGTAATTCACTTTTGTTAATGCAAAAACATGATAAATGCTTTCTTTTAATTGCAAAACTAGCAAGTTACCCGTGCATATGCATGGGCACAGTACATTATTTTTTGCCGATGATTAATAGCATATATTACATGTGTATTCACATGGTTAAGAACATACATGTGACACGTACATTTTAATGGTTAAAAACTCAAATGTTATTCGTATATTCACATTGCTAAGAAAAGTATATGTTACCTATACATATGTTACTCATACATTCACATTACTGGTACAAACATGTGTCTTTTAAACCATATATTCAAATGATTAAAAATACACATGTTACGTCTGCATTCGTATTGTTAAGAACAAACATGTGACCCGTACATTTTAATGGTTAAAAACATATATGTTACTCGTACATTCACATTGCTAAGAAAACACATGTTACATATACATTCGCATAGTTAAAACACACATGTTGCCCGTATATTTATTGTGGGAGTCATTTTTATTATTATTATATGTTATAAACAATAGAATAGGTGATGAATGGGTAGGATGTACTTTTATCTTGTGTGAGAGGTTTTACATTAAGAAAGTGGAGTGTTTTGGGAGGGAAAATTTTTGTTGAGGTTGTGACAATTGTCATGAGATGAGATGAAAGAACCTTTTTTTTATATAGTATATAGATTAAGTCATATAAGAGTTGATTTATGGAAATAAAGGAAGATTTTTTTAGGGAAAAAGAATATGAGAATTGTAACGACCCAAATTCTACCCTTGAAGATTTTTCATTTATTTTAATCCTTTCTTACATACAGTCGTCACCTTCATTAAAAACTCTCAAGTATCTCTCTTTGAAAATACTCTTTACCCTATTATATTATCATACAAATTTATGTTGCGGAAAAACATAATTCATTCAGATAGCCTTTATCACATACGTCCAATTATGGGTTTTCCAGAATTATAACGTCCATAACTACATGTCACCATATTATCCTAATCAGATTACATTTATCACAAAATACTATCAAATCAACTACAATATCAAATAGCAATAAAGACAATTGAGTAAATAAACACAGAAGCTTCCTAATTGAGCTTCATCCTCAAAATCCTTCATTTACCTACAATGGGATTATCATAAACAACACACAAAACAAAAGGGAGTAAGTCATTAGTTCAAAACTAACATCACACGATAATCCATATTTCAAATACAATTAAGCATTGATATAAATCATAACCACAATTAAATAAATGTAAACGTTCATATATTCTTTCTTTCATTTCCACGTTATTCATATTCGTCCTATAGTATATATATCCCATAATATATATTCTATAGCACGCCTACTACGTTCCTTTGAAACCTCATACTTCTCATCATTCATATCCACCCTATAGAATATATATCCCATACAATATACTCTATAGAATGCATACGACTTTCATTGTGACATTCTCATTTCTCATCCTTCATATTCACCTTATAGAATATATATCCCATACTATATATTCTATAACATGCATATGACTTTCATTGTTCACATCTTCCACTTTATCATCCATATTCACCCTATAGAATATATATCTCATACTATATATCCTATAGCATGCATATTTGTTTATCTCAAATCTTTTTGTCTCATTACTTATTCTCGCCATCAGGCTTACTCTTTACCACCTCCGGTTCTACCACATCGGGTATGTAATTTCTCAATGATCCACTACCACTTCGGGTAGGCAATTTCCCTTAATGATCCACTACCACTTCGGGTAGGTCATATACAATACCACATAGGGCAAGTCATACACAATACCACATAGGGCAAGTCATACACAATACCACATAGGGCAAGTCATACGCAATACCACATAGGGCAAGTCATACACAATACCACATAGGGCAAGTCATACACAATACCACATAGGGCAAGTCATACACAATACCACATAGGGCAAGTCATACACAATACCACATAGGGCAAGTCATACGCAATACCACATAGGGCAAGTCATACACAATACCACATAGGGCAAGTCATACACAATACCACATAGGGCAAGTCATACACAATACCACATAGGGCAAGTCATACACAATACCACATAGGACAAGTCATACACAATACCACATAGGGCAAGTCATACACA